GAGCGAGGCCAGGCATGTTGGGGACCAGATCTCAAGTCCCGTATGCTGTCAAATATAACTGTGGATTAGGATCATTACCCCAACATTGTTTAAATAATGTATTAGAAAACAGAGACCTAAATTTAAACAGGCCTACCTAAAGTAGATTCATTGATTCAATTGAACATACAGAAGTGTTGACTTACTACATTCTCGCCTTATTTTGGTTACATTTAAACATCTGTCAAATTGGTGTGTAGAAATTGTATTAATTTTTAAAAACTGTGTATTGCTTTTTACTCTCATATAATCCTCCTATATACTTAGGTCTTCTGGGGAACACTTATTTCAACCTGCTGATGTTACGGATAGAACTAGACCGGCAGTTGTCACCTGGAGGACTTTTCCATTGGCTGCCCCTAGACTGTGGAATGACTCACTGGGAGAAATTTGACAGCTGAATACACTGAATGAATTTAAAACAGTATTAAAGATCTATCTCTTGTGGCAGGACTACCCAGTCAATTTTAAACCATTAATTTTAAATTAGCATATCTTTAATTTTATATTTGGATGATTGTAATGTGTCCTATGTTTATATGTTATAACCTATGCGTTTAAATGCTTTTATGTGTTTTAATCTGTGTTATATCTCATATTGAGCCTTGGAGAGAGGCAAGTGGGAAATAAAAAGAAGAGGAGGAGGAGGGGGAGGAGGTGGTAATAGTAGTGGTGAGATTAAAGATAAATATCAGAACACTGCAACATTTATTCCAGATGACTAGGGCTCTTTCACACTACACAATGATAACACTGATTTCACTTTAGTGGCCCTGGTTACCTCCTATGGAATCTTTCTGGGGTCTTGTAGTTTGGTCAGAGGTATTCTCTGGCTGAAGAGTAAAAAAAACAAACAAAAACAAAACAACAACCCAACAACAATACTAAATTACAACTCCCAGTTCTATAGGATATTGCCATGGTGGCTAAAGTCGGATAAAGTGCTATAATTTTGCAGTGTAAAAGGGTCCTAGGTAACAAGGAGAAAACTAAGGCCAGAATTTCCCCAGTTGTTCTAGTGCATGAGCAGGGTATAATTTTGCACTAAAGTCAGAATAGTCCAAGCCATTGTATTCCCCATCACCATGTATGGATGTGAGAGTTGGACAGTGAAGAAAGTGGGTAAGAGGAAAATCAACTCATCTGAGATGGGGTGCTGGAGAAAAGTGCTGAGGATACTGCTAAAAAAGACAAACAAATGGGTCCCTGGGGTCCTTGAACAGTTCAGACCTGAACTCTCCTGGAAGCCAAGATGATGAAACTGAGATTGCTATACTTTGGCCATATCATGAGCAGGCATGACTCATCAGAAAAGGCAATAATGCTAGGAAAGGTAGAAGGTGGTAGAAAGAGAAGAAGACTGCTTGGCATATGGATAGACTGAATCACAGAGGTCACAGACCTGAATTTGCAGGACATCATCAGAGCAGTGGAGGACAGGGGTTCTTGGAGATGTCTCATACACATGG